TAATTATTTCTTAATATGTTCTTATATACAGAATGGGTCCCACATATATGCAATAAATGAAACCACAAGTAATACTAGTCCGTAGAAGTGTAGAAAAATTAAATATTAAATTAAAACCCGTAAAATAAAAAGTGAAATTTTCAAACAAAATAAATATTAAAATAAATTCAGTAAAAGTGAACACTCTGTTTAGACAACGTACCTTGACCCCTTGGAAGAGTTACAACGTTGCACGCGGGTGGCACGCCGACAAAAGACACCGCTGTCGATATGTCGCAATACCAATAGTTTGCACTGCATGGCAACGTCGCTTTTTAATGTTCAAGGATTCAAGTTCATTGAATCATTGACTTAGTGACCCAATTCTATGGAGTGTTCAAATTTGCTTAAAATTAAAACTCTACTTTTTGACCTAATTACTGTACCGATTACGTTCATTTTTTGTATATCGTCAGCAAAGGCGATAACAAGTATATGGTTTCATTTATTGCATATATGTGGGACCCATTCTGTATAAAGTAGCTATATTAGCAATGGCTCAAAAATTTCGACGACGAAGAAGAAGAAAAAAAAGTTAATTTTACTTTTTAATATCGGACGAAGCTTGGCTACCCACCTATTAATCTAATTATCGTCGTTTTGTTACGCTCTGAAAGAATCTATCACCCCGTATCCGTGGTCCTTGGAAAAGTAGAAAACGGCTGTGAGATAAGTTAAATGCCAATAATATTTCATGGTATTCCGATTGATGGTAGACATGTACATGTACAGACAGACATGCGTCGCGGAGCAGCGCCAATCAAAGGCGTAAGACGTATTACGGTTACAGCAAAACGATTTGGGTTCGACCGGGGGATACCAGCCTGATATGAACGCATAATGCTCAAATGTGTTCTGTATAGGAGTGAGATCTATATAGTGTTAAGAACCGGTGACACTTTTTACTGGTAACGACGCATTTTATCATAGTCCTCAGGAATGACAAGGCAACTACACTTTGATCTTTAATATAGAATAGATATCTAGAACAGGTAAATGAAATTGTATACTTGGGGAGTGCTTTCAGCCGGGATGGAAGATGTGATTTAGATGTGGACAGGCGTGTCGCTGCCGAGAACAAAGTCAATGGTGCCCTGAATGCGTTAGTCAAAAGGCAAGGCGTAGTGAAGAGTGCACGCCTTGCAATACATAACGCAGTGTTGGTACCGACTTTGTTATATGGCAGCGAAACCTGGGTATGCCAGAAGAAGCATAAAACCAAGTTGAATGCAGTGGAGATGCGATCTCTTCGTAAAATGTGCGGCGTTACCATAGCCGACCGAAAGCGAAACAAAGAGATTCGCAATATGGCAGGATTGAAAGATGACCTTATCACAAAAATTTATAGGGGCGTACTCCGATGGTTTGGGCACGTTGAGCGATTGAGTGAAGACCGAATGGTGAAGAAAATACGAGTATATAGCGCGAAAGTAAATATTAGGTAGGCCGAGACTAACTTTCGAAGACCATGTGAGCAAATTACTCGAAGAGGGGAAGGTCAAGAGTACTCGGATACCTAGACGTGCATGTATGAAGAAGATAATGAACCTGAAAAAAGCGAAAGAGGTATGTAAGGATCGTGACACTTGGCGATCTGTTTTCTCTGGCTACCCCGTTAGGGTTTGTGCGTGAAGATAAGTAAATATAGAATAGATGTAGGTGTCTATGGGCCACAGCATGTACTTGCAATAAGGTAGACTGTCTGATCGTTTGTCACTCTTATTCTATGAAAAAATATCGACCAGACAAGCGTGGCGACTTGTGATTATGTCATCTTCCCTAATGTGAGAAGAGCTCATGCCCAGCAGTGGACTACAAACAGCTGATGCAGATAGTCTCTTAATGTTACCACTATAGAAATTCCTAGTTTGTCCAAAGCTCCTAAGGTCGTTGAAGAAACTACCTATATGCCGAATTAGTAAAATGTTTAGCACGTCACGATAAATCATTCAAACTCGTTGCGGGCCGTTATATAACGTGGTTATATCAAAAATTTATAGTAGAGCTATTATAGAAATGCTTAAACACTTTAATTTGAAAATTATAATTTTGTACAAAGTTCAACCAGCCTACGTATGGTTACATAAATAACTTTCTTTGGCCTGTGTACGTTTTTTTTTTATAGATATATTTCCTACGTTATTTATCTACCTATAATTAGCCAACTGGAGAAATTAAAAATACTTTGTGTATTTTATATAATTTTGTTACTTTTTACCGACTTCAAGAAGGAGGAGGTATTCAATTCGACTGTATGTTTTTTTATGTGTGTTATATCAGAACTTTTCTCTGGTTGAACTGATTTTGATGACTCTTTTTTATCTGAGAGCTGGTACCTCTCGTGTGGTCTTAAATACATTTAATCAAGGTCTGACTAGTTTTAAGTTATCCTCAATAATGCTTATTTAATAGACTATTGTTCTTATTTTAACTATATTAAAGTCGGCTGCACAAAATGTTCAATTTTACCACTAGTGATCCGCCCCGGCTTCGCATGGATAATTACTGGATCTCGACAACAGCGCCGTCTACTAGGTTAAATGGAATTTTTAAACCATCCACGGACCCACTCAAATGCAAAAAAAATGTTCATCATAATCAGTCGAGTCGTTTTCGAGTTTTTGCGTGACTAACTGCCAGTAACTGATTCTTATATACGAGATAGGAGTATAAGAAGACTAGGCCCCGCTATAAGAGTATAAGAAGAGTATAAGAAGACTACACCCGGCGCGTTGCAGCCACAGAAGGAATAATTGTGCAGATCGTTTCGTTTTAAAATTGGAAAGGATTATATTGTTTAATTATGAATGATAATACATTCATTGAAATTGAATGATGTTATAACTTTCAAAGGAATTTGTCAGTACTATACGTGCGCTACCTAGTACTATAAGTTAATTGTACCATGCCTTACAACCTCTGCACAAGTGCAAGCAATAAGTTGTACAAAGTCTAAGCCCAATCTGATGAATGAATTGCAGCGCATAAAATACGAATAAATGAACATTAATTTTAACATTATAGATAATATTTTTCTTCTTCAATATTATCAGAAAGGATATGTTAAAACATAGGCCATTTTATCTCATAGGTGTATTAGCGCTAGGAATTATATGTTTGCTATGATGTGTTATAATATATGTATAATATTGTTATATTGGTAAGTTGGTGAAACTGACTTACCATTGGACTTTATGGAGCATTTGGTTTGTGTATTTTGGGTAACAATTTTGGTGGTTTCACAAACGTTGATAATATCAAATTTAGTCTAACAAATCTCCGTGACCAAGGTTGCAGCAAAACATCTTGCACGTGGTAGAGCCACGCTGCAGCTATATTATAGTTGTAGCACGAATGGGTCGGCTCAACCGGGGCAGAACCACGCTCTCACAGAATACCAGCGCAAAATAGCAGCGTAATTCTGCTGTGTTTCGTATGGTGAGTGTGTAGAACCGAAAACCCTTTTTACTGGAATTGAGGCATTCCATCTTAGTCCTCAGGGGTGAAAACGTATTTACATTTTGATTCTTAAAATGTCTAGGGGCCTCAGCATCCACCTATCATCAGATGGACTTTGCGCTCGTTTGTCACCCAATGCTATTAAAAAATATTACGATTTAATTTATACATAAATTTTATATTATTTAAAATGTCATTTTTTTCATTCTATAGATCCTTGATAATCTGAATATCTATCACATATTATGCTATTAATATCTCTACATTCTATCAAACAGTCGTCATGTAAAAAAGTAACAGTGTCGTGACTCCCTCGCTTATATGAAAAGTTATGAGATGTAAAGGCATTCTATTCCACCTACGGACTGTAACACTTTCTAAGATCACTCCAAATATAGATATATTGATGGTAGTTTAAGAAAATTTCGAATTTTGGCAATAACAATATAATATGCCAAATTGTCTTTAAGAAAATATCGGCGCTACCGGATATAGCTAATAATTATATGTAGTTAACAGTAAATAGTTGTGGTAGTTTACAATCAGGGCATCCAGCGCACCTCGTTATTTCGTTTTTTTTTTTATATTACAAGAGTCCACCTGATGGTAAGTGGATGCTGTGGTCCATAGACCGACATCTACCCTCGATTAAGAATCAACATGTAGATGCGTTGTCATTCCTTAGAACTAAGATAAAATGTCTCGTCACTAGTAAAAAATAGTCTATATAGTATTTGCTATTGTGAATGTAATATTTATGGTGTATTTCATATGTACATTACATAGAACAGTATATTTCTATAAATGAGATATCGAATTTACCATCAATTTTCTATATTTTTATGGTTGCTTATTGTGAAAGTGTAATATTTATGGTGGTGGTGATGGTAAATTTCGATATCGGATATCATTTAAATAGAAAAGTATATTTTCTATCTCCACGTAATAGATGCATTAAAATCTCTGACAACGGAGTCCAATTAGTTTCTTTTTAATAAACGTATGCACATCTAGAATACCCCTATTATTACAGATTACAAAACAGACATTGAGTTATACAAATGACAAGATAAAAAACGAATTAGTATCACAGTATACTTCAGAAAATCTGTGGTAGTTAGCACCTGCCGTAACGTTTTAAAAGCTTACCAAAGCTGTTAACCTTGTGTTTATCTTTTATATAATGAGCTGGATTTTGTTTAATATAGTCGGCTTAAGTGAAGCGCCAGATAAGATGTCCTAGATCAACAATAACATAGGTAGAGCGTTGACCTACGCCCGCAGCGCGATTGATAACAACACGAGGTAAATGGGCCGTGCTGCGATGCCGACCCTTAACAATGCATTCCCATCGATACACACTATTCAATTCGCTAATGCGCCTTTAACTGGTTGAGTGGTTCGAAAGTATCCGGTATATATTGTTTGAATGTACCGTCAATTGAATTTAAAATTATGAAAACGCAGGACGTTCTGCTGTATAAATACATAAATTAAAAAAAATGAAAATTATAAATCAGTATGCAATTTCAATTCTTCACAAGTGTTCACGACTTCGCGAGAGCTCACGCGAATTGCTTAGTACAGGTAGTTCGTAACTGGTGGTCCTTGGACCAAGTGATTTGTGAAGTCATCATTCAATGCTTTCTATAAAATTTTGTAAAACATTTCTGAAGATGATAGTCGGTGTGCAAATGCTGCAGATACGGTTTATAATTACCGATCTATATTACTCTTACATAGTAGTAATACCTCAATGTTTATAATGTAAGGTGTTGTTACATTCAACTATGTAATGGCATTCAGATTTCACATTCATTTTTGTATTGTTTTTATTTATAGAACAAACTTAAAAATCAACCTTACATTTAAATCTAAAATTTGTTCCAAAACAGAAACAATTAAGTACTGGTAGACCATATAAGTACGTCGTCCATGCTTGGTCGAACCCATTGGACCGTAGTTAAACGCTTAGACACTCCCCTACAGAGCTGTCTTCTGCTTTTTCATATTTTTCTTTATCAGACGTAACACTCCACTGATTGAAATCAACTAAATAATATGATTGTTCTGAGAATAGTGTAGTAGTGCCAGGCACCAGCTAGTAATTTTAAATCATTAGCTGGTGCCCGGCACGTTGCTGCCGCAGAAGAAATATTGTGCAAATCATTGATTTATATTTTAAATTTGGAAGAGTTATATTGTTCAATTAGGAATGATACGTAATACATTATATATAATTTTCAAATAAATTTTTCGGTAAGACACGCACACCACCTACGAGAACGATACCACGTAAGATAATTGTACTATGTCTATAACATTCACATAAAGAGCCGTGGTAGCTCAGATGATTAACGCTCGCTGTAAATATAACAGAATTCGAGTAACCCGGGTTCGATCCCCACCGGCACCAATGAAATTGTTAAATGCAATTCTAAGTGCTGATTTACCACGTGCTCGGCGGTGAAGAAAAACATCGTGAGGAAACCTGCATGTCTGAGGAATAAGAAAAAAAATATTTCGAAGACATGTGAAGTTCGCCAACCCGCATTGGGGCAGCGCGGCGGACACTTCCTTGTCCTAAAACCCTCTCAGAAATGTGGGGAGGCCTGTGCCCAGCAGTGGGACGTATATAGGCTGTAACTATACTTTTTTACTTTACTATAACATTCGCACAAGTGCAAGCAAGTTGACAAAGTTGTATCGCAATCTCATGAATGGTATGGCAGCGCATAAAATCCGAAAAAACAAAGATTAATATTTATATATTAGATTATAGAAAAAAAGAGTAAAATATGTCAATACTCGTATATTAGAAATGAAGTATTAAAATCGTCATGTGGCAAGAAATCCGTTTGTGTAGGCATCTGTTAGCACTCTGCAGTGAATCTACGGAAGTCGCCACGACGAAGTGATATTTTTAGTGAAGAAGGGTGAGTTAGTATGTCAAGTATGGCGCCCCGTAATGTAAAAGTTATTTAACCACCAGTTTGATAGACAAACTAGGTAATTTTGTTATTCGAATAAATTCCTCTTAAATTTGAAAATTTATGAAAAGATTTTTGACGTTAAGTTAATGTAAGTAGGTAGGCACTATGAAATTTCATAAATACCTATAATAAGTAGAACTTTTACAATGTGGATTAGGTACCTATATTTACAAACAACAGATATTCTGTAGATTACTGTTCCTTTCTTCTATATAGGGAACTACCTGGCTTAATTTTAAAATCACCGATTTATGAGAAACAACCTTGTTTCTTTATCTACATTGTACGTAGGTAAATGTATAAATTTAAAATAAAAGCAGGTAATGATTTTCTAAGGAACAAATGATTCCAGGTTAATAAAAATACACGAGTAATTAAATAATTTTTAAAAAGTTTTCTTTAAAAAATGGTGTCCCGCAAAAATTATAGCTATATTTTTTAGGAAGACCAGGAGAGCAGTTTATTTAACCAAGTAACCAATAAATACTTACCTGTTTTGTGTTTATCAGGAAATTTAAACATAAAATTATATTTCAACTCTCTACTGTCTTTTTCCAGGTACTTTTTTACCTTTTATTAATATGATAATTTAAACCTTATATTTTATTGTAATTAATATTATTTGAAGTCAGTGATTATATCGTAAAAAATGCTAACAATCCAGGGCACGATATCTATTTGCAATAATATAATGTAATATAATGGGTTATCCTTGTTCCCAAATAGAAAGGACATCCGTTTGAACGACAAATAGTTATTGTGAAATCAACATCACTACGAGTATTACACTCGTATACCTACAATTACCTAGGTACAATAGATTCTAAATTGTACGCATACATTACAGTGAACGCATTCAAAATTTTGAAGTAAACAGACTCCATATCCTAGGAAATCGATGGATGCATTTGCGTTTACTGGTTTTGAGGAATTCCTTCCGGAAGGACCTACGGCTGTAAATGATAATGAAGAGATGAAATAAAGGTACGTGCATGGATACATAGATATAAGATAATAGCGATGGTGGTATACAAAATAAATAAATAATATCTGAGCATGATTGTATGATGCTTAAATGAATAAAAAAATATAATTTATTTTTATAAACAAATTTTCTTTAAGTCATAACTCTCCTCATCTATTTTCGAGTAAGTACTCTATACTGCAAATCATTTAAAATTTGTAAAGACGTTTTAGAAAAATCTATTACATCACAATAATAAAGTGTCTAAATGGTAAGAACCTATAGGCTCAGGTTCGAACGATCAGCGGAAGCCGATAAAGCAGGCAATTTCACTTTTTTCGTCAGGATTTTATAAATACATATATCTACTTATTGATTTTTTTTATAAAATAAAGGTGAAAAACGAGCACATAGTCCACCTGATGTTAAGTGGATACTGTGGCCCATAGACATCTACATCTATCCTCGATTAGGAATCAAAATGCGGATGCGTTGCTACACCTAAAGACTATAAGATGGAATGCCTCGTTTCCAGTAGTAAAAAGGGTCTCCGGTTCTCTACACTCACCATATGAAACACAGCGGCATATAGCTGCTATTTTACGCCGGTATTCTGTGAGAGCGTGGTCCTTCCCCGGCTGAGCCGACCCATCCGTGCTACAAACATAACATTTTATATAAGATTTTTTTACAATTTAATGAGAAAAATAAACTCGCGTAGGAAGAATAAAATAGAAATTTCCGGTGTTGATTCTATAATTTCTCAAGGACGATGCCAAACCGCACCCTATTTCCGTTTTATGTATAAGGGTAAGATGTACCATTCCCCACAATTTACACAACATGTATTACACACTCACTCATCAAAAACAGTTGTTCCAATCTAAAATGAATAGTCAACACACAACCCCCTATAGAACTTACTGCAAGCAAATATGTTTTAACATGTTAAAATAATAGCCAATTACTTTGTAAATTGTTTAACATGAGGTCGGGTGCTAAGTTCGACGAATCCTCCCGGTTCATGACTTGAAACGGACGATACACTATGATCAAGTTGTCGCATTAACACTTCACTTTCCCTACAACCCAGAATTTCAAGCATTTACTCATCTGCCGGCAAAGTGCGCGTAATTACAGGGATCGCTGTAAGAGTTCCTACTACAATCTGCAATGATATGGAGAAACCTACTGTAGCCCTTAGTAAGTCTCCGATGAAAGACTTTCACGAAAATTGTACGAAAGTGTGTCGTGCGAAAATGCATTTTTGTTGAAAATACAGAATAATCGCGCAGATTTCTGCAGTCAACCGGAGCGCATACTTTCGTCAAGTTTCGTCAGCTGCTTGTTTATATTACATTCGTGCACGCTGCGTTCCAGTATATTGTACCATTGTGCCTAAATACTCGTTCATCTGTACCAAGGATCGTTGATGTGAACGTAGTCAACGTAGTCGACCTCCCGTAGATAATGACACCAGTAAACGCAAATACATCATGCGTTCACTGTAATACAATATATACCTAACAGAGTCAAGAACTGGTGATCTTCGAAATATCTAGTTATTTGACTTGAGCTATATTATTTATTTGATTGATTATATGTTGTTTTCTTTCACTATAACCAGGATTCAGTGCTTGAAAAATGAAGGATTGTAAAAGCTAAGTAGTTAACTACTAGTTAACTATTTAAATAAATGAACATTATTTAGTAGACTTTACATTATAAAATATTCTTGTAATGCATTAGAAGTAAATACAATATATATTCTAAAATAAATTAATGATGTATGCAAACTAGCAGCGACATAGCCCATCACGATGCGTCACAGGCTGGCCTCACTGTAACGTCACCTTCTTTGCTTGTACTAAATGCATTACCACGAGAGACGGAATGACGACTGCAATTTACACTCGTTGAATGACTCAAGGTACCTAGTTTTCTGCGCAGTTCTTTATACTGCTTGTACGAGTGGGGGAGTTTAACCGCTTATTAGAAATCTACCCTCACTCTTAACACCTGTTAGCTTGATTTATAGCGGTCGCAGAGTTTGCCTGTGTTTAACAATTATCTATCTTAATAAATATTAAGTAGGTATAATTTATTGTAAAGGTCATAATAGGTATACGATATTTTCTGATCAGTTTTTCTAAAGTTTTAAAATAAATTAATTCTCCGCAATTTCTGACATAGAGGCCAATACTTATATAATTATTAATCTTACTTCACGAAAATGAATTTTTTAGCAAATCATTCTTTGGTTACGTTCAGCACTGCTTTCTCTGATAGGATCTTGACTCATATGCAAGTCCTGACAAAAATCTTTTTTGTGACCGCTCAGAGATACATTCTTAGATTTAGGATGCTCTTATGCGTTCATCCGTCCCGTCTAGGTTCTCTTATCAGTCTATTTAATATGGCTGTATAGGTAATATTGAAAGTATAGATAAGAGAGTAAAGACTTGCTGATGTACGAGTATATTTGTATATTATATTATATATATATTATATTTAATAGGTAGGTAGGTACTATTGCTTCTTGCCTACCGACCCTGCCGCTGTAGTTTAATGTATTATCAAATCATGGATTTTTCGTAGTAGAGCTATGCTGCAGTTATATTAGTAGTATAGTTGTAGCACAAATGGTTCGGCTCGACCGGGGAAGGACCACGCTCTCACAGAATACCAGCGTAAAATAGTAGCTTAATGCTGCTGTGTTTCGTGTGGTGAGTGTAGAGAACCGGAGACCCTTTTTACTGGAAACGAGGCATTCCATCTTAGTCCTCACGAGTGACAACGCATCTGCATTTTAACTCGTAATCGTGGATAGATGTATATGTCTATGGGCCACAGCAACCACTTACCATCAGGTGGACTGTGTGCTCGTTTATCACCCTATCCTATAAAAAAATCTGTCTATTTTTACACAATAATTTCAATTAAGTACTGTCATACAAGAAAGCTTATTTCTTAGAGTACTTAAGTACCTATAAGCAATGTGTACGTTCTTACTCTAAGATATTATATATTCTGTGCTCTAAGGCTTACACTATCCGTGTGCTAGTGTGTCTCAGAAATACATATCTATTTATCTACGGGACCTATTTATTTTCTGTTCCCTGTCCGAAATGGACAAAATTTCGATTAAAGCGTAATTTGAGAATGGATGGACGAAATTTATAGGAGCCGGTTTAAAGAGCAATGCCAGGAGAGATCTAAGCTATATCTTATCCAAAAACTTGAAGATTCTTTTTGATAAGTGGTAAAATTAAAAATTTTGTACAAACGACTTCAATATAACAACTTTGACAGAAATGAGGGTATGCCGTGATGGTATAGTGAACACATTTGCATACCCCTTTAGATGGTACATGCGTGATGTTATATTATATTGTGTGATTACGTGATATCATCGCGGTTGATTTACTGGCATATATTGAAGGGTTCCGTTGTCTGTCCCCGAAACTCATCATCAGATCTTTACAAAATATAAATTGGACCATTTCGGAATAAAACACTTTCGAAACAAAAAGAATTTTGCAAATCCGTCGATATATAACGAACTTATTCCTAAAACCACATAGAAATCCGAATAGTGAATCTCCTTCTTTTTTTGAAGTCGGTTCAGAAACCGAATATTAATAAAATAAGTGTTCTCTAACTATCTTAAATCTAAACAACTCCACATTAATGGATCCTATCCAGGAGAAGCCAGGGCGGGTTGCTTGTATGTACATAAAATAAAAAACCATAAAATTGAATTAAATCTAATGAATTTAATCTAAGTCACATGATTGTCATGTAACTGACAACATTAGCTTATTACCATTCATTTTTATAGTTTTCTTTTAGAGTCCATGACTAAAGATAGTTGGCTTAACAGCTTAACAACCTCAGGTCTTCACTTCGTGTTTTGAAACATATAGTAGTGTCTTTTAATGTTTGCACCATTTACTACATTTTTACCATTGAGTTATATATATATGTATATATATATATATATATAGTATTAATCAAGAAAATTATTATTAGTTTATAGGACATTAAAAATTTGGCAACCCTGTCCAACATCCACCTGTTATTTTAATGTTAGCGAAATAGTTCGACACAATCTTGAACGCGCCAAGTTTAGAAATTAAAGAAACAAAATTCAAAATATTCAATAAAAAATAAAAAGACTTCCTGGACGAAGCGGAAGAGTAGCGGGAGGGGTGGGAGCGTTCCCCGCTACCCGCGCCCGCGTCCGTCCACTATTCCACATCCAATCCAACCAAATCTGCCCCTCCCGACAACGTCCCCGCACCCCGCAGTCAAGCGAGAGGCGACAACTAGCCAGCTGCGCGTTCGTTTCGTCTTGCTTGTTGTGTTTTTCGAATATTGTTGTGCGTTTGACGTGCATTTCTTATTTTCTCTAATTTTATAAATATAACAAAGCCAACGTTGAATGCGCGAGTGTTAAATAATTACAAATGCAATTGTTCATTTTTTTGAATAGAGATGTAATCATTCGAACGTTTCCAGTGTCGTTTATTCATGTTGTGTTACTTGGATACCAGTGCCTTTTGTCTGTCCTGTGAATAAAACAAGATTGGTGCTATTTTGTACGTTCCTGTAAAATTATTAAACCTAGACAAAGCAGTGTGATCAGTGATTGTTGTCGTAGCCGGTTTTAGTTGTGAAAACTTTCGAAACGTGCATAAAACAGTGGGTAATGCTTTCCTAGCGAATGCGGGCCCAGCCTGCACGCATTCCACAGGAAGGCAAGTGCCGGCATTAAGCATTTTACGGTGAGTAAAGCGCACTCAAGTTCATCGTACTTTGACCTAAAATATGTCAACTATGTTGACCAGTGTACACAAAAAAGGAAAGTCAGTCTATATTCTATACACATCCCACTTCTGGGCACCGTCCTCCTCTCATTCGTGAGAGGATTTGTCCGGAAAGCCGTATTAAATATCAGTAATGTGTATACTTTGTGAAATTTTTAAACCAGGTTTTTATTAAGTTTCATGAATTTCTAAGAATGCACTGGGTTCACCATGAATGAGGAGGAACCCTGCTATTTTTTTTATAAATTCGTAAAACTTTTCCTGATTTAGTAACAACTATTCTTATTTATTATTCAACTAAGAATTTAAGTTTATAATATCTCGAAATCAAACTAAACTGATATTTTTTATAGTAACAGATTCACTGTCCTTATCTCCCTTTTCATTTTCTTACTTTACATTTGATGAGAATTATTACAATATTCTACCATAAATAATCCTTTTTTGTTTTTTAAGATGTAATAATATTCACTACCCCATATCATCCAGTGGGTGTGTAACAGAGGGAAACTGAAATAAATAGCAGCATCTTCCTGATAATATTCCGAAATTATAAAAACTGAGGTGCCAACAACCTGCCTGCCATGAGTGGCAATGATGGCAAAATCGCCTCCCTAGGGTACTCTATGGAGAGGCCTAAGTTTAACAGTGGAATTTTTATATAATTTATACAATAAGGAATTAAAGTACTTTAAAAAATATAATATTTATATTTATCTATATTTTTATATAATAAATCACACTTTCGTCATTTTTTTTAATTTCAAAGACTAAATTGGCATTTCATATCTTGTGTGTAATTTTTTTTAACTAAATAAGATACATAGTTATTTACTTATAAATATCCAATATATTTATGACAATAGAACTCATCATAAAACTAACTGTATGCACAATTTTTTTTAAGATTAGTAATGCCCTATTTATTCTTATTTTAGTAGTAATAAGTAATGATTTTAAATTTAATCTATTTTGTGGTAATTTAATAATTACATTCATAATTGCTACTCATTTATAATCTCAATTTTCAAAAAATCAAATTGTTTAATTTGACTAATTAAATAGAAGTTATAGCAGTGATATTGTTATAATCTGTTGTTTTAATCAGCCACTTAACTTAGTTAGTAGGTAGGTAGTTTAACATGTGCATGGAAATAAATGAATAGCTTTTTTTAACCCTTTTAGTAAATTAAAATAATGCATAATATGGCATTTAACATAAAACCAAAAATAAATATGATGCAGTTATTATGAATGCACTCGAACTTGTGTAGGTAATTCAGGTCAAGAGAACAAACATATACATAATAAATGACGTATAGATCAGGAGTTTGAACAAGCCGGAGCTTGGTTTGGTATGAATAAAATTTTTTTAGAAATTAGAATAATCCTCAGTTGGCAGTATTTTGTGGCTGATGTCAGTAACTTGTTTCTTCCCTCTCAAGGTTTTATCCATACTTAGTTCTAGATTTTTTAACTAACTGAAGTCAACTTTGACATGCATTCTTAAACTTTATTAAGCATTGCTTGACATTTAAATGTACTAACTGAAATTCCAAAATGAGAAGACTCCTCACAGATGATTAAAATTATTAATTTTCATTTATTTAAAACATAGAATACTATAATAGAACAGGGGAGTGAGCGGAGCCCATGTAGCCACTAACATGTCTATTAACACCTATAAATGTCAACACAATCAATTGTTTAATACAAATTTCTCGTCAAGTCACTGGATATAAATTATTTAAATAATGGCAAATTGTGCAATAATTATGTGTCTTAAGAACAGCGGGAAATGGAATTTAAATAAAGGAGACATCCTACAACCAGTAAGTCGAAACTATTTATATTTTGTGAATATTAGAAACAAAAATAAAGAAATATTGATGTGTCAAAAACATTAATCAAAAGTCTAAAGTGTGTATATTCCCTCAGTCTGTCAACACAGCGAATCTGGTTTGTAGTAGTGATAATGCGACGTAATTGCTTCTATGTGTGCTCCCAGCCATGCCGATCCTCCTACAAAATATGTTTGACTGCCATTCTATTGTGTATTATAGTATTCTATGATTTAAACTGATGCCTACAATCAGTTCTTTTGATATGGATAATTTTATAGTCATTTTGTCTCTTTTAACCTGGCCTCTAAAAAGGAGTAGGCTGTAAATTCAACTATTTTTGTTTATTGTGTGAAAGCAATATCTCTCAAGTTTGTTAAAAACATTTGCTAGTTTTCGAATATATATATATATACTATCTTGTTTTACATAAGTATTTAGTGATCTTTTTGTTTGCTGTTTTTAGAGAGACTATATTTGCAATCCAGCATGTATAGTGTATACTCCTACACATTTTCAAGGGTTACACACACTTAATAAATGGTAATAATAGACTAATTATCTTCAGTGACTTCATTATTTTCATGATTCAAAGATGTAGCTAATCTTATTATTGACTCCTCTGACATATGGTAGTACAATAGGGCCTGACTTCTGACTAAGGCCAGTTTTATTACAACTCAGGCTTTATGAAATTTTTAAACCAATGCTGTAAATTCTTCAAGTAAGACGGCAACAATGCTTCATTAGTTGATAAAGTGGACTCATCCAACTGAATTGACAATTGACTAATCTTCAAATGATTGCACAATGACTCTTCAATGTTTTAAGCCATTTCATCAATTTGTTTTTGCACAGAACTATTGCTCAAAGGAATTTTACAAATTATGTCTGCTGCCGGTTTATGGAGCACATTAGTTAAAACTTCTTTTATTGCTGGCAAATTTAATGTTTCTCCTATGGTGTGTGGCTTACCTATTTGAGCAATTAATAAAGAGATATTGTATGGAGCTCGTCGTTCATCATCATCTTGCTTAGCAGCCTCCAAAAAAAGTTTTGATACACTTGGCTGAGCATTATGCTTCTTTTCCAGGTCTTGAAAATAAGCTATATTTTTGTCCTTATCTGGATGTATTTTATTCAAATGATCTTGAAGTCTTGATGGCTTCATCGCTTCATTTAAAAAATTTTTTTGAACAAAGAATTGACAAAGGCTAGGAAAGATTTGTCGAATTTTCTTTGAATCAAATATATATTAATTTATACGTGGTAGAGCCATGCTGCAGCTATATTAATTGTATAGTTGTAGCACAAATGGACCGGCTCGACCGGGGAAGGACCACGCTCTCACAGAATACCAGCGTCAAATAGCAGCTTAATGCTACTGTGTTTCGTATGGTGAGTGTAGAGAACCGGAGACCCTTTTTACTGGAAAAGAGACATTCCATCTTAGTCCTCAAGACTGACAACGCTTCTTCATTTTGATTTGCAAACAAGGATAGATGTAGATGTCTATGGGCCACAGCAACCACTTGCCATCAGGTGGACTGTTTGCTCGCTTGTCACCCTTTTCCTATAAAAAAATATATATTCTGCACTATATAGCCGTCTCTTCTTTTTTGCTTCCGACATGGCATTGTTTATACAAATAAGTAAATAAAGTGTTGAACTTAAATACTTGTTTAAAGATTGCGAAAAAAAAGAAGAGAGCTTTTATATAGGATTTAAATACAGCATGCCCTGACAGGAATAAGACCACACGCACAAATTCGTTCATCGTACTAAACAAAGCTAAGACAAGTATCGATGTACCAGCCGATCGCTACCGGATTGCACCAATAGCATTATTTAACAAAAAGCTTCTTACAATTTGATTGCGTACAGTGTACGGTCTATCTTACGAAATCTATGTGAAGTATTTCTAGTATATGTACCATCATACAGGGCAGAAATATAATCTAATTAGTAGGTAGGTTTTAATTTTAGTAAATTTTAAAATATAAAGTATCTAAATGAAATTACAAATCAACCATCGCCCCCCTAAATCACGCCAACGCCCCCCATTTTTTCGGGGCCCTTTTAACACCCTCTTCTAGGTCTCCAACGCCCACAAGGGGGTGTTATCGCCCACTTTGAGAAAGACTGACTTAGATGAAATGCCTTCTTACTAATAAACTTTTTATAACCTCTGGTTCTCTACAATTACCATACAAAATACAGCAGCATTTTTCAGCTGTTTCATGCTGGTGTTCTGTGAGAGTTGTGATCCTACCCTGGTGGAATTGACCCAATCATATTGTATAGCTAGCATTTGCTGCAACATAGTTTTGACATGTGTAAAAATTAAATTAGTTTAAGTCTAAAACAAAGTTTTGACAACATTTGAAAATTTTCTTCTTGGTCTTGTCTTCAGACTAGCAATTACCAAAAAACATAGATATGTAATAACTTTTGTTAGTTCTTTTTCGCACTTCAAATGAAAGAAAACACAGAGCTCTAATGTGAATATGTACCTCGTTGTCTGTATGTCAAGACCCTTTTTCTAAGAGACTGATAGAGATATCAAGTTTAAATTAATATAAAATTTTAAGCCCCTTCGAGATTCGAGCTACTAAGCCAATACCATTTATTCCTCATATTTTAAAAATTGCAAACACACTTAACAAAATTTACCCACTTCCCGTAAACTTAGAAAAATGAAATTTAGCAAGAAGCGGAAGAAGCGAGGTCTCACAGGAAATGTAGTGGAATAATATCCGAAAATCATTCGTTTTTAGCTATATCACATAAAAATATTAATATCTATAAATATGTTTCTCACACAATCAACTGCAAACTTACATTTGTAGTTGATTGTGTGAGAAACATTTTTCCATTGCAGTTTCTTTTTCAATCTGACTTACCCTTTTGCTAGAAAAATGTTCGGTACTTAGGGGAATGGATGAACTATTTTTGTTCTTTAAAAATCTTTACCCTCACACTAAGATTTTCTCCTGTATTGCGCAAATAGTTGTCAAACATAAATTGCACAAGGACAAAATCCAAACTCGACCCAATATTTTACTACAAATAACTTACTAATTACTTATTTACTGCAGAACATTTTTCTAAGCCATACAAATACGTTTTTCATGCAGGATTCTGACCTACGACCCCCAGCACAGCAACTCAATGCTAAGTCACTATGTCACAGAGCCGTCATTCATTGACGCCGTGGCGCAGTGAATTACTTAACATATTGTTAAGTTTAAATTTGGACATTTGGAATCTTACATTATATTAACATTTGGAGTCCTGAAAGTGAAAGTGAATGCAAGTAAGACGAAAGTGATGATTTTGAAAGAGAAGAAAGCAAAACGGTATGTGAAATAAGAATAGAAGGAGAGTTAATTGAGCAAGTGAATGAGTTCGTATATTTGGGATGTGTATTCAGCAGGGATGGGAGATATGATAAGAATATTGAACGACGAGTGAATGCAGGAAATAAAGTAAATGGGGCTCTACACTCTATTGTGAAAAGTCAGAATGTGTCAAAATAGGCACGTATGGCAATTCACAATGCTGTATTAGTCCCTACTTTAACATATGGTAGTGAAAGTTGGGTGTGGCAGAAAAAGCACGAGAGTAGAATAAATGCAGTAGAAATGCGGTCGCTAAGGAGTATGTTAGGGCTGAATCTGAGTGACAGGGTGAGAAACTGTGTGATAAAAGAAGAGTGTGGTTTGCAAGATGATGCAGTGACCAGGATTAAGAAATGAATTCTTCGGTGGTTTGGTCATGTAGAAAGGATGAATGTGGAAAGACTGACAAAGCAAATATATGTTGCAGAAGTAAATGGAAGAGTCGGAAAGGGACGTCCTAGGCGGAAGTTTGTCGACCAAATTGACGATATACTAAAAATGGGCCAAATTAAGAGTACCCTTAACCGACGAGCATGTATGCGTAGGTATATGGATGTGGAAGAGGCGAGAGAGGTATGTCAGGATTGTGCTAAATGGAAGTCTGTAGTCTCTGCCTACCCTCTGGGTGACAGGCGTGAGTGTTTATGTATGTATTTGGAGTCCTACTCTCACTTGTCCGGTTTCTTTAACCGACTTCAAAAAAATTTGAAGGCAATCAATTCGACTGTATTATTTTAATATGTGTTACCTCAGAACTTTTTTCTAGGTGAACTGCTTTTGATGATTCTTTATATTATTATATGGTCTTTTATGGTCTTTATATATTTTTATGGTCTTTTTACTTCAAAGCTGGTGTTTGTCCTGTAGTCCCATATAAATTTGTTCAAGATCTGACTAATAGTTTTAGAGTTATCCTTAAACTACAGTAATGCTATTTTTATTTAATTTATATTGAAGTCCATTGTACAAATTTTAATTTTACCACTTACACAAGTTTTTTCAAGTTTTAAATTTTTTTTCTTCAAAGTTACAAGTATGTCAACAAAAATTTTGATAATGTAAACGATAAACAATATTATTGGCCTCTGAATGAGTTAATTTTTATCTCAGTAGGACTAAAACTTTGAGAGATATGACTTTTTTCGTAAACGCATAGAGAATATCTCAAGAGAAAAACAAAATGGCTGCCAAATAGAGGGGGGAGGGGATTAGACCTCAGTGTGTAGTGTATTTTTATATTAAAATAGCTGTATTATAAGTACCTAAAATATCGCTAGTCCGTGACCGGACACACTGTATATGTGTGTGTGTGTAGGTAATAATGTCGTTTTTTTAAATATTCACGACAATTTTTCATTATGCACGTCAGTCAATCTAACTCAAGAACAATTTGATAATACGAAACTGAACCTTTTATTTAGCCGATATTACCTATGGTTTTATAAGTATAATAATAATGTTTGCAGGGAGGCGAACGGCGCGGGTGGCGGGGTCGGCAGCGGCGGGCTGCTGGCCATGAACGCCACCCAGGTTCAGTGTGAGCCCCACGACTCGGTGGTACTCATTAAATGTGAGTACTGAGTAACCCTACACTCTAAGCTTAATTACTAGGCGCTCATAAATTGGGCACAAGGCTAATTCATTACTCTTTGTAAGGGTGACAAAATTTATAGAAAATAATTGGGATATGTTTTTGTATGCAGAGTTATTTACAATTTTTATAAATAAGTTTTGCACATAGTTCACCTGATTAAATGTAAGTCGTGAATTTCGGCCGAAGAGTCAAGATAAGTAGATTGTCAACTCTAATAAACAATAGGACTCTGACTCCTTACCAAAAGTTGAGTCTTCAGGGCTTCACCATGAAAACCGCTAAAGCGTTCAGGCTTTAGCCCATGTAGCCTCTGTAAGTGAGTGTTGAGGTCTGTCGCTAATAAGCATTAACGCTCTATGAAAGTATGTCCTTCTCAGAAGAACCGACCCACTTGTATCGTTGTGTTAATGTTTAAGCCTCCATAAGAAGTATTAGAACAGACCAGTCATTTATTTTTTATGCTCAAAAGAGCATCATCATCATCATTACCGCCTGTCATTGTACAACCCTTCATCAAGTCCACTGATAAACAGGTCTCTCTCAAGTCGGTACGAGGCTGCTACTATGGAACCTCCCTTCCTCTATGGCCGGCCTATTGCTATTTCAGTTTTCTGACCCATAAGGCTCTGTATTATGTGCCGATTTTAACGCGGATGTCATGTCGAATTTGATCACACGGAGAGTCCGAACTTAGCCCTTTCACAGCTCGCAAAGCAAACTGAAGCTGCCTGTAACGCCGAGCCGTGAGAGACCACGTCTCAGTTTCATACGTCGTTACACAGTATATATTTTAATAGTGCAATTTGGAAAACTTAAGTCCTCTGGGATTGACCCAACAATGATGTAGTAGTAATGAATATGCAGAAAAAAAATTTGGCAGATGTTATGCTTCGAACATGGAAAAAGCCATGATGTTCACATAAATACTTTGATCATTTTTTCAAGTTAAGGCCAGTGGGAATATCGTATTTTGGACACGATTTTGACACGCGAGAATTAATACTTCTGGAAATAGTATATGCACGGAAAAAAATATGCGTACACGCACATGAAATATGTATTTATTTCAACAATTATTATTTGGGGCCCTGCACTCTATTGTGAAGAATCAAAATGTGTCGAAAAAGGCGCGTATGGCAATTCACAATGCTGTGTTGGTCCCTACTTTAACGTATGGTAGTGAAAGTTGGGTGTGGCAGAAGAAGCACGAGAGTAGAATGAACGCAGTAGAAATGCGGTCGTTAAGGAGTATGTTAGGGCTGAATCTGAATGACAGGGTAAGAAATTGTGTAATAAGAGAAGAGTGTGGTTTGCAAGATGATGTTGTGACCAGGATTAAGAAAGGAATGCTTCGGTGGTTTGGTCATGTGGAAAGAATGAATGAGGAAAGAGTGACAAAGAAAATTTATGTTGCAGAAGTGAATTATATTAGTAGTATAGTTGTAGCACAAATGGTTCGGCTCGACCGGGGAAGGACCACGCTCTCACAGAATACCAGCGTGAAATAGTAGGTTAATGCTGCTGTATTTCGTATGGTGAGTGTAGAGAACCGGAGACCCTTTTTACTGGAAACGAGACATTCCATCTTAGTCCTCACGGGTGACAACGCATCTGCATTTTGATTCGTAATCGAGGATAGATGTAGATAATGATTTCTTAAATTTACGCGAACACTACACATTGAATAAAACTATTATTTACGGATTTTATCGCGTTCGCGTTAGATGTAGATGTCTATGGGCCACAGCAACCACTTACCATCAGGTGGACTGTGTGCTCGTTTGTCACCCTATCCTATTAAACGAGCGAGCATGTATGCGTAGGTATATGGAAGTGAAGGAGGCGAGAGAGAAGTGTAAGGATCGTGCCAAATGGAAGTCTGTAGTCTCTGCCTACCCCTCTGGGTGACAGGCGTGAGTGTTTATGTATGTTATGTATGTAATTATTATTGAGTAATAATTGTGTTTTCCTCCCCTAAGAAAATGCGTGTTTACCATACGAAATTTTCCTATGTACTAATTTCTACTACATATCTGTAGTATGGTGTGGATCTGGGTTACTAGAATCTAGGTAAGGATAGTTTATATCATCTTTGTCCTTTTTATTTATAATCAAATCGTAAAAATATATCTAGCATAAAATGTCTTTTTATCGTATATTTAAAAGTGTTGCCACCTTTTTTAGTGTTACCACACGTAATAATAGTTTGTTTATTGAGTGAAATGAAAATAAATTTCCAAGGCCTGTGGCGGGCTGCGACGTCACCGGTGCAGTCAACAATTGCTGACGCTAACTCGATTGTGCATTGTTCCAATTAGGATATTTTCTTCCCATGAGATATTTCAATAACGAGTCAAATGTTACGTTCAATTTGGATGTTTAATTTGAAATATTTGTATATTTAATACTGACGATTTTTCAATATAGTGTCTTATTTTTATGTACAAGCTAGCCACAAAACTTATTAATCATCAGTCTTCAAAACATACTTCCGATCATATCGCATAAAAGTTACATATAGCACGAATAGGTATTGGAACGACGATGAGTTAATGCCTCTCTGTTAGCAAGTAGCACGTAGACATGTACATCTATAATATCTCCTGGAACGCGGAAGGTGTCGCCGTAATGAAATCGTCCAGGATAACATCAATCGACATGGACGAAACTCGCAGAAATACCAGCTCAAAATAGCAGTTTAATGCTGCTATGTTTTGTATGGTGATTAGAGTACTGGAACGCCATTTTTGGGAACGAGACATTTCTTAGTCTTCGGCAGTGACAACTCATCTGCATTTTGATTCTTACCCTGCAGCATTACGCTGAGTCATAACCTTTACGCTGACTCGATACACACCGCATCACTTGTAGTTTTAATCTAACATACATTTAACTGACTTTTTTATTTATGTAATGTGTATAGTCTCATTGAATGTCTTTCGTATAAGAATTGAGAGGTTACAAGGTGAGATGTGAAAGACAAGTACAAATGTAGACTGAGAGGAAATATAAGTGATTTAGATAAGTTGTGTGTGAATAAGTTAGACTTGGAGAATGTGTGCCATAATGTTAAGAAAGGTTTAGTGGATGCAGCTACCGAAGTATGTGGTGTTAGTAAGAGAACGAATGAAAGGAAAGACAATACGTTATGGTGGGATGATGAGGTACGTATAGAAGTTGAAGCAAAGAAGAGAGCATGGCTAGATTTACTAGCGACCAAAGCTGGTAATTCTGGCGGTAAGAATGATCAGATTGAAAGAAAAAAGGCAGTTTAAACGTCTAATTAAGAGAGTAAAAGAATTAGTTGAAAGGAAAAAGCAAGAAAGAACGGATAAGAATGATATAAGAATATCGGATAACTTCCAGGCAAATATTAAAATGTTCTGGAAACTCGTAAGAAATACCAGGGGACATTCAAAACAGCCTATATTGAATGCGATACGAGACGAGAATGGCTGTATTCTGAATGGTGAAGTGTTGAGTCTAAAGAGATGGAAGGTATATTTTGAAAGCGTATTTATGAGTGAGGAGACGTGTGAACTAAATGAAATAGAAATTCCGAAAGAAGATGAAAGAGATAGGTAGATAAGTATAGATGAAATAATAAAAGCAATGAAAAGCATGAAAGTAGGTAAGGCAGCCGGATATGATAGTTTCACTCGAAACGCTAAGGGCTGGAAAGGACGTGGTGGCAGGCCTGCTGTACACCTTGTTTAATTTATGTTGGAACCTAAAGCGGGTACCGGAAGACTGGTGCAAAGCCGTGATAGTCCAAATATATAAGGGAAAAGGATCACAGCAGGACTGTAAAAACTACCGTGGTATCGGCCCTCTTAGCATTGTGGGAAAACTGTATGCTAAGGTACTAATTGAAAGAGTTATGAAAGAAACTGATGAAAAAATTTGGGATGTGCAAGCGGGATTTGGAAAGGGAATGGGGTGTACAGATCAAGTCTTTTCCATGCGCATGATCGCGGAGAAGTTTTTTGGCGAAAAACCAAAAAGTTTTTTGTGCGTTCATGGGCTTGGAAAAGGCTTATGACAGAGTGGACAGGGATGTGTATGGAACGCTGAACGAATTTAGGTTGAGCACTGGTTTAATACAGGCATTAAAGTCTCTGTATAGGGACTCGAGTGCTTGTGTTATAATCAACGGGGTCTACTCGGACTAGTTTTGCATCCATAAAGGTGTCAGACAGGGCTGTGTAGCTTCCCCGTGGCTGTTCAACCTATTTATGGACAGTTGTTTGGAAAATTTGAAAGTTGAAGAATGCAGGTTAAGAATGGGTGAGTTAACCATCAAATGCCTTTTGTACGCCGATGATCAAGTCATACTTGCGTCGTCGGCGGCCGAGTTGCAAATGATGGTTACATTAATGAACAGGTCATTAAAAGAATGGGGAATGAAAGTGAACGCAAGTAAGACGAAAGTGATGGTTTTTGAAAGAGAAGAAAGCAAAACTGTTTGGGAAAGAAGAATAGAAGGAGATATGATAAGGATATTGAATGACGAGTGAATGCAGGAAATAAAGTAAATGGGGCTCTACACTCTATTGTGAAAAGTCAGAATGTGTCAAAAAAGGCACGTATGGCAATTCACAATGCTGTATTATTCCCTACTTTAACATATGGTAGTGAAAGTTGAGTGTGACAGAAGAAGCACGAGAGTAGAATAAATGCAGTAGAAATGCGGTCGCTAAGGAGTATGTTAGGGCTGAATCTGAGTGACAGGGTGAGAAACTGTGATAAAAGAAGAGTGTGGTTTGCAAGATGATGCAGTGACCAGGATTAAGAAAGGAATGCTTCGGTGGTTTGGTCATGTAGAAAGAATGAATGCGGAAAGACTGACAAAGCAAATATATGTTGCAGAAGTGAATGGCAGAGTCGGAAAGGGACGTCCTAGGCGGAAGTTTGTCGACCAAATTGGCGATATACTAAAAATGGGCCAAATTAAGAGTACCCTTAACCGACGAGCA